GTTCAGCAAAATCTTTATTGAGTTATCCTCCTCGTTGGTTTCTTCTTAACTTACCCTTCTTTTTCTCTTAAACAAATAGAACTTCTTTATATAAACAAATAGAACTTTTTCGCTGTAAATTCTACAAAGTTTTGGAGGAATTAACTTGGAATAAACATATCAAGCAAAATAAAAACAAAACAAAAAAGAAAAGGAAATACATTAGGGAATTGGAAAGGAAATGCTACTAGACTGCATGATTGCCCCAAACTGAAAAAGGACACAATCAAATAAAAAATTATCTCAATGATCTTAATGATTTCCCGATCTCACCCAATCCCTTCTTAATTTGTTAAAAACCACCTAATCTATTTACTATTTTGCTAGGGATTGTGATTTGCAGAAAATCTATAATCAGAGAATTGTAACCATTTGAATGGTTTTGTCTAGTGGAACCTTTCCTTTTAACTAACTATTCATTACTTTTTATGCTTTTGTTACTAGCTAATCAAAACATGGTTATGGCACTTGCTGGGAATAAAGCTGACTTGGTAGATGAAAGAAAAGTGACACCAGAGGCAAGTACCGAAATTCATGTTTAGTAATGATTAGCACTTGGGTTAACTACATCTACCCCCTTGGTTGGGTCCAATTACGAAATGAACCCTGTTACAAATAATGAAGTTGAAATATGATAGGATGTAATGATGTTACAGTAATCATATTATCTGGAATATATTATCCACATTTTTTAGTATAAGTTTGGAGTTTTTCAGCAGATAAAGTGCATAATAACACCAGTTTTATCTGGAAGATGGTCAATCTGTGTTGATAGCATTAAATATTACTCCCTTCGTCCCATTTTAGAAGATACTTTATCCCTTTATCTATCATTTCACCCTTTACTTTTGTGGATTCATTTTTCCTCTATTACTTTTTGGAGGTTAGAATTGTTAAATAACCATTCTATCCTTTATTTTCTTAAAACTACATGCATCTTACAGTATGGGATGGAGCTGGTATAATTTTTCCATGTTAAAAGGATGGTTGTGGAAAATCTGACTACTCAAGGGGCTTATTTATAAACTGTAACTTTTAGAAGCTTCAAAGATTGTTTGGTAATATGTGAATCTGTCCATAACTCTGAGGGTAGTAGATGCAATAATCCTTTAGAGTTTGACATGATTTTGTCCTTCAATGGATGCCTAGAATTTCAGAGCATAACTGCTCTTGCGTGCTAAGCTCCATTGTTTCTTACGAAGTTTGACTCCTGGTGCAGGACGCACAGAAGTATGCGAAGGAAAATGGCCTTTTCTTTGTCGAGACATCTGCAAAAACTGCAACCAATGTCAATGAGATTTTCTATGAAATAGGTAAAAGCTTTATTTATGGGCTTTCTGGCACATTATTGTATCATATGGAACAAATTGATCTAGTTCTTGTAGTCCACACAACTAATGTCCGAAGTTCTTCATATGGCTATGTAAGATGCACTTGAGTGTTTCCAAACCTTCCATTTAGCACATACGGAGTATGTAAATATGCAATGAATCTATTACTGCTTGCTGCTTTTTCACTGATCAAAGATCCACATTAGTTTTAATCAAAGCCCCTTCCATTTTAGCACATATGTTATGTGGATGCCATTATATCAGTTGTCATGATAATCTTAACTATTTAGTTCGGATTGCCTGTGAATAATAATTACTATGATGACCGCTTAGATGGATTTATTAAACAATAGATGGATTTATTAAACAACTTGCCAATGATAATTTTATCATGATGGTTGTCCTGTCTATATCAGCCGACCCCCAAATCTTTTTGGGACTAAGGCTTGGATGTTGTTGTGGATGTTGTTGGTCCTGTCTATATCTGGTGTTTGTTTGGTTTGTATTCAAGTCTTGTTTGGTAACTCAATTAGGTAAGTGACAGAAATTACTTTTTAGATTTATGATTGGTTGGTCACTGGATGAAGTAGAGCAGTGTGACTGGAATGATGTGATTGTACGATCTCAATTGTTGCGATTTGAGTGTCAAATTTAAAACTGTGCATTATATTACACCTCCAAGAACCTCCAAGAACAATACGAACGATTAAAGTGTTAGCGTTGAATATGTATTTAAAAAAAACTTAAGTGTGACTAGGAGTTTTATATAGTATTGTTACATTAAAAATGTATAGTTGTTCTAAAAGGTGGCCTAGGCGGACGCCAGGCACCCCTAGAAATGTAGTTGTCTGGATGCCACCCTGTCTATCTAAAATGTTCAAATGGCATAATTTTGTTAAATGAAATACAGATTCAAAGTACAAATAGATGGTGTAGAGGGAGAGTTTATGTCTCTCCCTCCATAAACACGGCACATGTTCATAGTAATAGTCTTAATCACAATATATAGAATGTATGTGCCCAACTTCAACTGACAAAACTCAAAGCCGAAAAATGACTCCAATGGCTTAAGGACTGCAGTTTTTTTGTCTTCTTTCCGTAAAATAAATCACTGCTTACCTGTAATAGTTGCGTTCATAACATTTGCATTGCAGCCAAGAGACTGCCTAGACTACAGCCTGCAACAAATCCATCTGGAATGGTTCTTATGGATAGATCTGCTGCTGCTAGTCAAAGAGCAGCCACATCCACCGCCACTTCCTGTTGTGCTTAACTTCCATCCTCATCTGCTCCATGGAGAAAGAAATGCACACTGCTCTGTCTGTACCTTCATCTGTCACATTCATACTCGCCCATGTTTTATCCATGTATACTCCGTATAATATATTATTCTTATGGATCTTGTATCAGAGGCCTTCAGGGATGGGCGTCTATAACAGATTACCTTTGTGTTGAGTTGTTTATATTTTATTTAGGAGCATTAACATATTATGATTGTTTTGTTTTTTTTAATAAGAACATGTTCTTATATTAAGAACAATGAGAATTTCTACCGCAAAAGGAACTCCATATTAAGCCTTTTCTGCAGTGTTCTTTTCTGAAAATAGCTGTTTACTAGCTGGAAAAGTTTCTTGTCTGTAAAAAGAGAAGATATAAAACATACTTAACTAAATTCTCAATTTTGAAACCACAAAACAGTTCTCCAATAAAATTAAAAACCTCCTAACATTTCTAAAAAAGAAAATTGTTTTCCAATTTTTAAAAGTATCACTTAAAACAAAAGAAGTATATTCTGTAATGGCTATTCGCTAGTCGCTACTGTATGCCTCCATTTAGGTTATCTAATTTCTTTAGTTTGAAGATTAATTGGGTGACATGTTAGACTAATTTGGAGTTTACCATTGCGAGAGGAAGGTTATTTAGTGAGATTATCGAAAAAGAAAATATGTAATTAAGATTTAAATTGGAATTATTTTAAATTGTAGTTAAAATATATTTAATGCATGTTCTAAATATTTTGGTTGATGTTGAATTTTGAGCTTTGAAATTATTTAAAATTTATTGTTGATGTAATATGATGTGTATAAGAAAAATGATTCATTTAAATAAACTGAATAGAAATGTTCTTATATAACATTAAATCTCTAAATAAAAAAATGACCCAATTTTATGCCACCATGATGTTATTGACTTCATGCCCATTTTACAAACAGTTAGGACCAGATAGGGTTGGACTCGGGCCGGGCGGCCCGAACCGGAACCGGCCCGGTCACTGTTTGAACCAGCCCAGTCCGGCGGCCCGGCCCATGGGCGGTTCGGGTCGACCCGGCCCGGTGGCTACCGGTTCCGGGCTCGGGCCTTCATTTTGGTGAACCGGCCCGGCTGGTTCGGGCCCGGTCCGGATTTAATTTTTGTTTTAATTTTTTTTAAGTTTTTGGGTTGGATTGAGTATTTTGGGCCATTTGAGGTGGTTTGGGGTTGAGGGGGAGGGTAGGGCGTTGATTAGGAAAATCCAAAAAAAAAATTATATAAAACCGAACCGGGCCCGGCCCACCCCGGCCCGAACCGGAACCGGGGTTACCCGGGCCGGTTCCAGGCCTCCCCTACCTTGAATCGAGGCCCGGCCGGTTCAAGGCCCGGCCCGGACCAATCCACCCCTAGGACCAGATATTCACTAATGACTAGGTATTTGAGCTGGAAACTTGGCCAGCTTTCTCCACCATTACACGAAGTACAGAGTATATAGTTAAGATGCATAAACATGGCATAAGAAAATATTCACCCCCTGGAATCTAATCCATATCTTAGATGTTGGGATGTTTTTAATTAGACTGGAGTTTTCTGATTTTGTCTGTGATGGATTGAATTAGTTTGGATTGAACTAATCTAGTCTAATTTGATAATAGTTGTTCTATATGTATTTATAAAACAGAAAAAAAGGTCAAATAAGGTCTTCCACAATTACAGAATCATCTCATTCGGTCATGCATTCAATAAAGTGTCATATAAATACGTCTACTTATAAAAAACATTCAGATGAGTCAAAGCGACCTGTTGATAACCTCATAATCTCGCTTTTAGCATACGTGTCGTTATTCTTGTCTTATATTTAAGTCAATCATGGTCAAATATTTCACGTCCACTTTATAATCTATTTTAAAAAGATAGCAGACATACACAAAATTTGGGATTATGAGGTTGTCAACTCGTGATTATAAGTAGACGTATGTACTGGTTATGTTAAACCTTCAATTGAATGAAATTCTGAATAGGGTAATAACTTTAATCATAGTAAGTTATGTTAAAATATTGCATTTTAATGATCATGACACTATATTCATAATTATTTTAATCATATAATTCATATTTATATAAACATATTTATTCCAATAATGCTTTTGAAAAATCTCTAAATTGTCATACTTATAAAAACGGCTCACGTATTTCTAACTAGAAAAATGAATATGAATAATCTTAATTATTATTGATTTGTTTCTGAAATAATTCAAAATATCAATTTTCTCAAAATAATGAATAAACCTCAAGATGCTCCAACAACTTATAATAATTCATAAATAACTTATAATATTTTGAGATTTTTCTAATAGTTGAAATTGTTTTGAGATCAATTGATAATGTAGATTATTTCAAGTACCATTTTAAGGTTTCGTACCATTTCCTATTTTGAAGAAAAGGATATTGCATCTAAGGGGTTCTTCTTCTCAGTTTACTGTTGCTGGCTTGCCGCAGGCGAGCGAGTGAGCGACCTCACTTCAATTCAGAGGCTGAGGTATTATAATCAGTTCCTTGAATCTTTTTGCCTATGCGTATTCCTGTGAATGTCAACGAATATCCAGAAACCGTCTCCACCAATTTCCTTGAAGTTCTCATTTGAGCTGAAATCTGAAACACCGTTCCCGCATTTTATCAAATGGTTTGAGCTCAATATATAATTCATTCTACGCCTCTTACTATCTCAACTCAAGTGCGCTTCAAAAATGAATTTGCAGCTCAACCATACATTTTCTTCCCCTTCTTCTCCATTTTACTATTCCCAGACTCTTCTGGTTTTGGCACCGCTGAAAATTCGATGCTCTCTAAGAAGCCCCGAACCGGGCTCGGCCCCCGAAGTCTCTGTCAGTAAATTAACGAGCGAAGCGCCGATTCCGCTCCGTGCGAGAAAATTTGTGAGGTCCGTGAGAAGGGATGCCGAGGCTGCACTGTTCGATTACTTGCATTGCACCAGAGGGTTCAGTTATCTTGATTCTGAGCTAATTAGTAGGAACTCACCTCGTTTTCTTAGATACTTGGTCTCAAAGATAAGGCGAGATGAGAAGGATGTGGCGGGTGCTTTAACTCGTTTCTTCAGGTACCATCCCATTAATGAGTTTGAACCTTTTTTTGAGAGTTTGGGTTTAGGCCGATATGATGTTGCTTGCTTACTTCCTGATAACATGATGTTCTTGACTGATGACACCACCTTGCTTGATAACTATCATGTTCTGTTTGATTATGGTGTTCCTCACACTAAGATTGGGAAGATTTTTAAAGAAGCTGGTGAGGTATTTAGATATGGCTATGGAGTGTTGAATATGAAATTAAGGGATTTTGAAAATTTAGGCTTATGTCAATCCACAGTCATTGACCTGGTTATTTGCTGCCCTAATCTTTTGCTTCCTGGGAAGAAAGATGAGTTCATTGTGGTTCTTGATAAACTGAAAGATATAGGGTTTGAAAGTGATTGGATTGTGAGTTGCCTTTCCAGCAAACAGACCTACAACTGGAGGAGAGTACTTGACACAACGTGTTTCCTTAGTGAAATTAGTTATAGCAATCCGCAGATGATCACTCTGGTTAAGGCAAATCCGGCTTTGTTATTCGAAGGGACTCAGGCTTACTTACTGGTAACCCAACTAGTGAAGTTGGGTCTTAGCAGAAACACGATATATCTCTGGTTTACGGAAAACCCAAAGATCCTAACTTTAAATCACGCGAAACGCATCTGTAAAGCAATTAAGTTTCTGCTTGAGATTGGGATGGATAGAGAGAACATTGCAAGAACGGTATCAACTAACATACAAGTGATTGGCAAATATCCTCTAAAATATCCAAACTTTGTGTTGAAGGATTTCAAGGGAGATAGGGCTCGTTTGTCTAAGATCATACAAAAAGATCCTATGAACCTTCTCAGATTAGCATCCAATTGGGAAACCAAAAGCTTGTGGAAAAGAACTGAACTTTCCAATTTGAAGCTGAAAAAAGCGTTCTTGTTGAGGTTAGGGTATGTGAAGAATTCTGATGAGATGAAAAAAGTCTTTAAGTCGGTCGAGGCGAGGGGAGATCTATTACAGGAACGGTTCGATTGTCTTGTAGAAGCTGGTTTGGACAGAAATGATGTCGTGCAAATGTTCAGACGAACTCCAAAGATGTTGAATGGTACAAAAGAAGAGATTCTGAAGAAGATTGAGATTTTGAAGAAGTATTCATCGTTTGGTGTGGAATCAATCGTGCGTTTTCCCACATTTCTCACCTATGGTAATTACAGAATAAAATGTAGATTATCCATGTATGAATGGGGGAAGGAAAGGGGGGTGTTGAGGCCGACGCTGACATTAAGCACTATTCTTGTTTCCACTGAAGGACGTTTTTTGAAGTATTATGTTAATGTACATCCATATGGTCCTGCCATGTGGGAGAGTTTGAAAATACGATTTCTTTCAAGCTAATAATAAGGGCATTAGGCCACTCTTTTGGTATTTTCTTTTTCTTTTTCTACATCTGCTATTACACGCGTAGTCTGTTTGATGAGCTGAACTATGCTAAAATGAGTTAATAAAGTTACTGGGATAGCACACTTGAATTGTTGAACACCGTACATAGATACCACCTCAGTGGCTCAGTCCCTCAAATAAAGTCCCTATCTGACTTTTGTGTCAAACTTGTTAAATTTTGACCATCAATTACTCAAAATTTATATTACGTAATATTTATCACGCAAAATTAATTTTATGTGCCTCATTGTAATACGCAGTATTCAAATGTCAATTTACTATAGATTGTATAGGTATATATTTATAAATAATTATAGTCAAATGTTCATCTGTAAGAATGTAAATTCACACTTTCATTTTAATCATTTTAATCGTGGGATCCATATATGTTTTCTGAACAATGTGAATGATAAAGGGTATTATCTGTTTTTTCTTCAGGTTAATCATTTCATAGAAAAAAGGTAATTCTTTTATTAGTTTTTTACTGTAAGCAAGGCAAGTAAAACAGAAAATCATGTGTTTGATTAGTTTCCTACACCATACTACGTATTATTTTACTATTTCCATTCCAAACCCAAAAAATTGAATGTTTTTGTTACATTTCAAGAAATATTTCCGTTCCATTCCATTTCGCCCCATTAAATTTCAACCAAAACAGCGGATTAGCGAGGCAGTTAGCAAGTTCGAAAAGAAGCATCAGTTAAGCACTCATTTAGGGGTGAACCTCGGCCTGGACTCGGGCCGGGCGGCCCGCCCCGGAACCGCCCCGAATCGGTTACTATTTGAACCGGCCCGGCCAGGGACCGGTCCGGGTAGGCCCGACCCGCTGGGGTTCCGGTCCGGGCTTGGGCAGTCGGGCCCCTCAAAAGGTGAACCGGCCCGGCCGGTTCGAGCCCGGTCCGGGCCAATTTATTTATTTTTTCTTTTTTCTTGATTTTTTTTAAATTTTTGGGTTGGGCTGGGTATTTTGGGCCATTTTGAGGTGGTTTGGGGGTGTGGGGGAGGGTTAATTAGGAAAAGCCAAAAAAAATATAAATTGAACCGAGGTCCGGCCCGGCCCGGGCCCGGGGGTTACCCGGGCCCCTTCCGGGCCTCCCCTTTCATGAACCGAGGCCCGGCTGGGCCCAGGCCCGAACCGGGCCGAGTCCAGCCATAGGTGAACCCAAGTCTGGAATTGGATGCGAACCGGTGTGCAAAGAATTGGGCCGGTGTCATATTTTTCTAGTTCCATCCAGTTCTAAAACGGAACCGGTCTAGAACTAATCCAGAATACTAATTTGATTCCCCTATTATCCTTAACTCAGAAGGCTGGAATAGGCCGGTTCAGAACAATCGGTCCGATTCCACCCTACGTTCATTGGAGAAACCTAACAACAAGACATTTTTAATCCACCTTGAAGGGTTTTCCAAAAAAGCTTTATTGTGCCTTTTTCTTATAAAAGTTGAGTCAAGATTTGAAGTTGAAAGTTTCAAAATAACATTATGTGGCAGTTTTGATCCATTGCTCTCCATATGTGTTTAACTGTCCTATTGGAAAGGTGCGCCCTTATTTTCTCCTATTATCCATTTGAAACTGTTATAAAAAGGCAAAGATCAGATACTCTATAAAGTTGGAATAAATCATCCCATTTTAAAGGAAGAAACAAACAAACAAAATGACTTGTAATACCCTTCATTTCTTCACACTCACCATGATCATATTCTTCTCCACCATTATCGTCTCATATAGTGCAGATGCAAGGCCACACTTCAGTCGTTTCTGCGTAAAAGCCATCGACAAACCTTTCTGCTCAAAGGTTGTGCATGGAACAAAGACATGGAAAGATGCAATGAAGAAGGCAGTGAAGACAACCTACAGGCACGCAAAGCGGGCGAAGCCATTGGTTGAGAATCTCATAGCAAAGCTTCCTTCAACTGTGCCACCAGCCGCGAAATACTCCATTTGTGATACTTGTAAGGACTCGTACAATTCGGTCATTCGTGAGCTGCATGCATCCATAGCTGTAGTTAAGAATGGAAGGTTGAATCTCATGTTATCTGCTGCATACACGGATCTTGAAGATTGCTCAAGGGCATTCCTGGACTTCAATGTCCCAACCAAGAATCAGTTGTTCAAATCTAATGAGGTTACTGCCAAGCTTATTAGCACTTGTTTGGCTGTGGAAAAAGCAAACCCCAAATAGAGAGACCTTAGACTTGTTATGTAAAAACTATAAATTATTGGTCACTCTCACTGTAATTCCATTAGGAGACAGTTTTGTTCATCAAAGGCAGAGATTCTGCAGGGAAAAGGGGAAAGGTTTCAGCACAATTCTGAGCTTGTTTGGTTAAAAAAAGTATTCCCTTCTCACATTACTCCTAAGAATAAATATTTCGATCACGCTTGAGGTACACATTTTTGTACACACACTTACACACTCGTGTCTAGCTGTGAAGTGTTTTGTTTTGTCTGTATACAGACACAACTTATTTCACAAATACTTCAAATGCGTTGTGTCTATATACAGACAAAAAAGAACACTATACAGACACGAGTGTGTAAGTGTGTACAAAAGATGTGTAACAATAGTTTTTTCCTAAATATTTAGTGTGGCCATTTCTTTTGAGGAAAAACAAATGTAATGTATTTTCTCTTTCCCGAGGAAGAAAAAGAGTAGTGATTTGAACAAAAGTACAGCCTCCCAATTCACCTAACATGTTAATATGCTATTGCCTCATACCCAATTGCATTTTATTTTGGTCTTTTTACATTTATTTCATACAAACGGAACACTAAAAGATATTTCTAGAGAATTTGAAACCTCAGCATAGACCAAACTAAAGAATTTGAAACCTTTCTTTATTCCTCACACGGTTTTCTCCAAATTATAATTCATATTGCTATCCACGTAAACAGGTAAACTATGGGTCTGTTTGCAACACCTTCTGCTTTTAAAAAAGTGTTTTTTTAAATGAAATGGGGAGAAGTGATTAAATAAAAGTCGATAGTGTTTGAGAAAAAAGTGATTTTGAAAAGTAAAAGTGGGTAGTGTTTGGTAAAATAAGTGCTTTTTGTGTAATAGGAAAAGTAAAAGCACTTTTGACGCGGAAGCCGAGAAAAATAAAAGTTGTAGTGTTTGAGAAAATAAGTGCTTTTTTAAAGCCAAAAGCTGAGAAGTGCTTTTTTAGAATCAGTTGCAAACCAACCCTATATCATACTCCCTCCCTATCACTTTGATTGTTACACTTTCCTTTTTGGGTGCATTAAAAACTGTCCAACTTCAATTTTTGCAAATAAATCCACTCAAAAAAGCAACCACAGTACTGCTACAGTGCTGCTAAAGTGTTGCTACGGTACTGCTACAATGCTGCTACAGTACTACTCTAGTGCTGCTACGGTACCAAAAAACTCATACTTTTCAAAAAGTGTACAGTAAACCTATATATTTTCGTTAAATACTACAAAACCCTATTGGGACAATAAAACTGATATAGAGGGATTATGTTTTAGCTGACAAGTAATTATTCAGTTAAAAAGCACAGAGTAATACCCATCAAATTTTCAATAGACAATTAAGGAGTGTTTGGAACTGATTCTGCTTTGTTTCCTTTTAACAGAAGCAGAATCATTTTTCAGAAGTTGATTCGCCCATCTTTTAAAAAACTGCTTCTTGAAGTAAATTAGAATACCAGAAATACTTCTTCACTTTCATCCAAACACTCTAGCCTCTGTTTCTACTCCCTGAAGGAGCAAAACTGTTTTAAGAATTAGATTCAAACACGCCTATGAGCCCGTTTGGTAGTACAAAAATTGACTGTTTTGATAGATTATGCTGAAATTTATTAAGTTCTGATAACAAAATTTAATAAAAAAATAAATTTCTTCTCCTTCTAATCCCTACCTAACTATCCCACGCCTCAATGGCTCAATTACTGGCTTTCATAGTTACAACTACGGGATTAATACTGTTCTAATTCTTAATACTGTTATACAATTCACCTGAAAAAAGTCACAAAAAATGTCCCGACAGCACTTGGGGTGACTTTGACTTTAGCTACAAACCGACAATGACAAAAATAGATAATTAATAGCTTTTCAACTGATTAACTTGTTAAACTGTTAGTAATGCTTTTGAATTGGCCTTCAAAAAAATAGATGGTTTCATTATTTTCATAAATTTCTGGTTGGACATTGTTCATAGCACTTGCAATTTATTCCCACTGTCCCCCAATCTGCTTCACAATTGCTTTTGGCACAATTACAAAGGCAAATAAATTATGCTTGAAATTCATTTAGAAAGAAAAAAAATACCCGACACACTCCTCAAATCGTATGATAAATACGATCTTATGGTTAAGCATGTGATCTGGGAAGATGACTTTGAGAGTTTAAGATAGATAAAAAAGGGAAAGGGGTGAGCTAATCTCGTTGGGGAGAGAAGTATATAGTTTCAGAATAGATACATAACATGTAGATCAAATATGATTATATTCTATAAACTAAAAAACAAATAAAAATCAGAAAACAGATCATGTCACCATACGAACCATTAGTATCTCAAACAATAAAGCTTAACGAAACACAATCCAGTGAAAAGTTTCACCATACTAGCACTGAAAGAAATAGACTTCATCACAAACTACTTTTTACATCTCCCTAAATGGTAAGGCATGTACTTCGAGATCTGGACTTTTCAGAAGTTGAAATTACTGTGATGTTATATGTAACATCAGATGAAAAACATTATGTTTTTGAGATCAGGATGAAGATTATAGAACTCATGTTTGAATGAAGGACCAGAGGATGATGAAGACGATCCAGCATTTTGATTCTCATTAACCACCTCTTGGAACATGCGACCTCTATAAGCAACAAGATCCGCATAATACACCGGTGGAACTAGCGAGACAGCTTTTGCGCAACGGGCAAAAGTGAAGCACATATCATAAATCAACTTTTGCAAGCCATCAGAGGTGAAACGGTTCTCGTCCCAAAGGGCATAGTAATGTGTGGGCTTGCTTGTACCGAGGCTTCCATAATGACTGCACAAGTAAAAGTCAAAGTCAGATGGGTGCACGACTGTTGTGTCGACAACTGTCCCAGGGGGCACATTGGCCGACGCACCCCCATCGTTCCTATTCTGGAGGAAGAGACGAGTTTGGTGTCTCTTTTGGGCCACAATAAAAGTGATCGGCGGTTGATAGTCTTCAGTGTAAATCTTCTTCTTCATATCAATAAGCTCTTCATTAAGCACGATTTCGAACTGACCCTCACTCACGCCATCACGGAAGACCACAATCCTCATTGGTCTTACGTTGTTTGTCTTAGCATAAGCATATACCAGATCAGAACACATGCTGCCGAAATTAAGGATCGTTTCAGTCCGGTGCTTTTGTGGGCAAACCCTAGCAGCATAGCGATTTGCAGCAGGCCAGTTGACTGTGCCAACGACTGCTGCTATGGATGGACACGTGACATTCCGGGCAGCAGGATGGTTGACATCAGCCCCAATGAACATGACATGCTCTTGACCCTGAAAGTGTGGAAGCCTCCCATGAAGCTCAAAGTTGCTACCCCCAAGTTTTGCATTGATCTTTTTGCAAAGGTTGGCTAGATCTTGGTCACGCCCTTTGTTGAACGTACCAGACAGGCAACACTGTGTGACCACCCCAATTTTTGTTTCTGAAACCCATTTCAAATACTTGTAACCATTGTCCCTACCAGGCATAACACACACTATGATTTGCAATTTGGCCTGCGTTTTCTTCTTAACTGAATCAACCACATGATTGAGGAGATTTTCAACCAGGGTGACACTGGACAATTCACGCATTGGAACTCCTTGATAGATTAGGGGATCTTCCATGTGGATTCCCATGTTTTTGGACCGCCTCTTCAGGTTTGCAATAAAATCATGTGGTCGTAGCTTGTTATAATTGTGAGAAATGGTGAAATCAATCAAAGCCCATCGTTCAACCGGAGTGCCCGCAACAACAGTTTTCCCAACAAGGTTCCACTGGCATCTATCATTGATGGAAACCATATATGAACCTCCTAACTTCACTTTAGGGGGAGGAAGTATGCGACCAACAACTTGCGTCATGTCATGTTCAACTCCGATTCCAAAGTTTTTACTGACGTCTCTGTCATAAACAAATTGAGAATATTATAAAATATACAATGTCTGCGCTAATATCCATTTTAACAACTATTTGCAATTTGATAGCAAAAGACACAGATGCATATATCAAGTTTGGTATTTTGTTATCACAAACAAGATACATTGCAAGAGATGAAAGGAGCACGATTTTATATCAAACAAACATTTGTTGCAACCAATATACAAATGAAATAGTAGAGTGAGGAATTGAAATAGATGGAAGCCTGCTTGCTTGATCAAACAAATATCATTTTCTTAACTGTGAGAACTTTTTCCATTATATTTCATCAACAACTACTTTAATTCTAATTACCAGGGAGCAACATACCCTGTGCTCTAAATAAAGAAAGCTAAAATATATAAAATTGAACTTAGATACATTATACAAGGAATGGAGATCCAAAAATTTGAACCTTCAAACAAATATAAGAGGCACAAAATAAAATCCAATTTAGGTAGGTCATAACACTTAAAGTTTATTGAGTATGAAACACTAAAAATTACTCAGTAAATCATTAGATGCATGCACAGATTAAATATTCATAAAAATATATGTATGTAAAAATATATTTATATTTCATACCCACTAGGTCCATCACTAGCCTTCACCATTGCATTAATTGTTCTCCGTCTTTCCTCTGGCGGAGGAAGTGATAGCTTTTTCAAGAATATTCCTGTGTCCTTATCCAAATTTTCCTTCGGAAAAATTTGGCCTCCAATCAGGATGCAAAATTCCATTGGTACATACCTACCCTTCCCAATATCTAAACACGGAATATTGGTATGCACAATCTTCTTCCCATGTTTCTCAAGAAAGTAGTCGACAAGATACAATTCTCTTGCTGGACTATTTCCATCAGGATCAGTTAGTACAAATGTAAGTTGTCCAGTATTTTTCTCAGTTAAGTTTGATATAATAAACTTTTGACTGCATCTGCGGTGCGTCACATTCACTTTCAACCCTATTAAAGCAGCTGCAACCTTCTTCCGGAAGAAATTAAACTGATCCAGTCTAAATCCATCAATGTACTGGTGAAGGAACTCCAAGACCGCCAATGGTTTGCGAAATGCCAAGACTGAGTAGTCAAGACATAAAGCAAGACCTTGGGATGTAGGCTTTAGGCTCTGTTGGAAGCCTCTATGAGCCGCAATACCAGGCACAAGGTCTTCGGTGTACTGTTTGGAGAAAAAAGACCTGCCAACAATGTACCTGCTCTTGGTAGGATTGTCTTTCATGACCAAATCCATAGCTTGAAGTATTTCACGAGGTAGGTGAGACACAACACCACTCAAATAATCTTTGAGCTTTGAATACTTGAGTTCGCCAACAAGCTTGATTGTGAACATAAAGGTGCGGGACTTCGACTCATCGTCTCCAGACAAAACCACTTTGAATTCTCCGGTGGGTAGTGGAACTACACTGAAAATGTTCTTCTCACCATCATATGTGGTCATATCCACAGGAAATCCTTGAGGATTATCATTAAAAAGTTGTTTTCTGATGATGGAAAGAAGAGATTTAGAAATTGATTTCTTCAATGGTTGATTTTCAGAATTGACTTGGTTGACAGCCACATCATAGTGCATTATTGTTGTCTCAGGGCGAAAAGTAACACGGAAATGGTTAACAAGGAGATTGATTTTCCTGGTAGCAATCGTCCCTGTATCTGGCCGTTTGATTGGTTGAAGCTTATTTTTGGAACTTTCTGAAGACAATGTCCTAGCACCAACCTCAGTAGGTACTGCAACATACATAAATATATTTTTTCTGAACAAACAAACAATGAATAGGTCTATAATTGCCACATTCTCACTGAATGGGTACATTCATGGGTGCCAATCACGCCAAAATTTCTAACTTTTACCGGGAACCCATTCCATACAAAAGATAAGAAAATACCTGAAGACATTTGAAAAGATTGGGATTGAGGTTGAGACTGAGCTTGAGGGTGATTAGAAGCCGTTGGAGGTGGAGATGGAGAAGAAACCATAGACACACCTCTGGGCTTGCCGCTCCAAACAGACGGTGGTGGTCCACCGGTGGGCCCCGTGCCCTGAGGGCCACTCTGAGGTTGCTGAAGAGTAGGGCCACTATCACCGCCGTACTGCGGCGGCTGCTGCTGAATTGGTGGCCTCTGCGACCAAGCCCTAGGACGAGGACCCCAACCTCCACCGGACTGAGACTGAGACTGCTGAGGAGGTGGCCGACCTGCCCCACCCCAAGGAGCAGGGCCACGATTAGAGCCGTAGTTCGGCTGAGGAGACTGAGACTGCTGAAATTGTGGCCGCTGCGGCCCTCCAGAAGGAGCCCCGCCACCCTGACTGACCGGAATCCGAGCCCACTGTTGCTGAGGTCGCTGATCGGCAGGACCCTGGCCCCTCGGCCGTTGTTGCTCCCATTGATTCTGAGCCGGTGCCTGATTGTGCCCACCCCGTTGAGATCCACTTCCGCGGCCACCACGACCGCCGCCGGAACCACCCTGAACCTGTTGACTTGGGTCATAACCACCGCGACCTCCGCCGCCTCCACGTCCTCGGCCTCTGCCTCGGCCGCGCGGAAAGTTCTCGCCTTCCATAACTCGGTTTATCGAAAGATCACAGAGATTGACAGTAGATGGAGTGAGCGTCTATGGAAAGCAATCGAAATGAAAACTGCCTGGGCGGTTGTGCCTAACGCGGTTACATTTTTCGAGGACAAAAGCAGAGAAAAGATCGCGAATTTTCTAGAGACTTGGCGAGCACATTTCAAAGTACGATGTACTTGCTATACCTGAGCTGCCAACTTCCGATTCGTATACATTATTTCGCGAAAAGCAGACTTAAATTTGATTTTACTGTGGAGTGCACTCACTTTACCGGTGGACGTGACTCAACTGGTAGCGAAGGAGTGTCACAAGAGTTAGGTCTCTGGTTCGACTCTTGACAACTGCGATGAGGGTTACTATACTGAAAAATGCACAGGACCTCTGTAAGTACCAGGGATAGAGCCACACTCTCTCTATATGTCATATTGTGATTATAGTCCAATTTACTTCCTCTCATTGTACCGTCCGATCGGTTTTGGGGGGCTCAGGGATGGGGTGTCATCCCTTTTTTTACTGTGGAGCACACTGTTTAGCACTGTTCAAACACTGTTTGACACTGTTTGGACAATGTTTGGCACTGTTCGTTTGACACTGTTCGTTTGACACTGTTTTGATGTAGATAAATAGCCAATTAAGGAAAGTATATTGAGGTGTGAAATTAATTTAGGGACTCTCTAAAAATGAAAGTGAGAACTTAATTAGGAGACTGCCCAAAAATAGATCAACATCCCAACCTTATTCTCAGAATATTTTGGAGACAACTGACTCAATTCATGATATCAGAGTGAAAAAAGAGAAGAAAGATAAAAATAAAAATAAAAAATAGGGTAAGATAAAAACCATTAAATTTAATTAGTAATGTGTATAATGTATATACATACTTATTGTACTCCCGTTCTTTATTAATTGTCTCGTATATCTTTTTGAAACGTTTTTAATTATTTGTCCCTCTTTCATTTTTTGATATGTTTTTTTTCAAAATACCTTTTTACCCCACCTTTATTACTCTTATCTCTGTCTCTTTCCTACTTTATTATTTAAACACAAACAACTACACCTTTTACATTACTCCTACTATTTTCCCCTTAAAACCCGTGACAAAGCCGCCTAAGAAGACACTTAATAAAGAACGGAAAGAGTATAAAAATTAAAACATGATGTATAGCTATATTAGAGCAGAGTACCGATAAAATAATTGTTAGAGACACTACTAATGAATATAAAATTACAAAATAAATATTCTTCCATATCTAATGAAAATGGCAACAATTAATATCATTTGCATATTTGTCAATGCACACCTTTGACCATAATATGTCTTATATTCAATTAGTAAAAAAAGTTTAGAAAACACATTTTGAAAATTTGTAATGACACGTATTGAATAATATATATCTTTAAAATGCATGTACATAAAGGTAGTTATAGAATTGACTAATGAAATGTATAATTAGAAATTGTCCTGAATAGGAGTAAAAATGTTTTGAAATTTCAAAACAGGATTCATGTTTTTATTTCGGGTAATTTTCGCCAATTTTGGAAAAATTGCTATGTTTAGAGCGTGCCAAGGGAAAAAACTTTCTAACTTCTACTGAGGGAATTTTGACAATATATACTTGTTGGTTTGTGTTTCCAGAGTTGTTATTCTATAGTTTTATACTTTTATTGCTTATAATTCTCAAATTTGTATATAGTCTAAGAACGTTTTAAGGTTTTTGGTGAAGCGTTTTATCTAAATAAGTAATTGTTTCGTAGGGTTTGGACCGGTTCGATTTCTTACTCAAAATGAGTAGAACCTTTATAAAAGTTTTAACTAATGAAATTGGTTTGGTTCCTATATAAAAAATCAAGAGCCGTTATGGAACCGAACCGGTACTAAACGGTTCGGTTCTCCCTTTTATCGGTTCCTATAATAATTTTTTCTCATCTAAGTATTAACACATAATTTACGTTCTACAAACAACATAAACACGTCAAAAATTAAAAACACGAGTATTAAATTTTATTTGAAGCTCTAATCACTTCAAACATCAAAACTCAAACTTAACTAATGAACCGTGAACACTTAATAGAACAAAAGATGATTTAAATTTTCATATAATAAATAAAACATAAAAATTGTTGTAGTGTGGGAGCGATGAAGGTTACTCGTCATCATAGTAGCAAGAATAAGACGTCTACTTCAAGTCTTTCAAAGCATAAAAAAATACATTGAGTTCGCATGTATAGATATAAAAAAAACATTATTACATTCTATTGATTCATAATAAATTTAATAATTAGAAATGTCATGAAAATAGTAAAGTAAAATATGTGCAATCAACTACATTATTACTACTACTACTACTACTACTATATTTTTAATGGCGGTTTCTTAACGGTTCCATGCACATAGTTTTTATAGGAACCAGGAACCGAACCGTTATAACCCGCTTTGGTTCGGTTCCTACAAATGAGGTATTAATTGTTTTAACGGTTTGGTTCCTAGATGTTGTTAACGGTCTGATTCCAATCTGTTCTACGGTTCCCGGTTCCAAAATCCCACCCCTAATGGTTTGTATAGAGTCACGCTATATATCCCAAGAATATAATCTCCTTGAATATTTTCTTCATATTGTGAAATGAAATATCTGCAATAACAATTAATTGTGTTAAATGATCAAAAGTAAAAAAAAAAAAAAAACCTATTGTTCATAATCATGGAAGATCATTAGAATAATTCTTTTGATAAAAAAAATCAAATGATATAGTTTAACTATGTAGAACGTGATATTTTTCTTCTGTGATACTCTTTGAGGTAGTACATTTTAAATTTAGTTCAAATGAGAAAAAATATCCTAACTTCAACTTTTTGAAATTCGATTTATCCTTTTGAATTACAAGTTCTAGCTCCTTATACGTAGTATTAAACAAGTACAATGTCCATGATCGTACATATGTCTATGGCTTAACTGTTAAGACCCGGAGCCAAGTACTTTGTGGTCTAATGGCATCACTGTGGCACTCTCAAGAAGGAGGTCACAGGTTCGAATCCCATCCCAGTTCAAGGATGTTGGCATTAACGTTGAGCAGATACTATATAATAGGTTAGAAAGAATTGTCCAAAAAAAAGACCCGGAGTTCCATCATAAAAGGTCAATCTGATAGGAGTAGCCCAAAATCTTATATAGTGATTTATTGTTTTATAGCTTTCCGGGTTATGACAAATACTCCAACATGCCTCTCTCAGCCCGAACCGGGCTGGACAATATCAGGGTGTATAAATGGGCCAAACATACCCTTAACAAGCTGCTCGTAATCATAAGTGCCAAACAAGCAGTCATACCACAACCGGAATTGGCTCTGATACCATGTACAGAACTGCCTCCAAACCGAACCCAGAATTCTACCCAACATAAACCTCCTCTTTCATCTGCTTTGATCCTCCTTCGCATCTGCCATGGCCATAGCAAGCAAGCTCACGAAGCTGAAATCCGTTTCAAAGTAAATGCAATCCTTCACACGATGAAGAGATGAACACCAATTTCTCTAATTGCGACTCCTTCAAGGACCTCTGCTATAGAGCCGTTGTTCGAGTGCTCTATGTTGAGAAATCGCGCCGCCGCTATCTCGTGAGTTCTGAAGTCGCCGATCACCTGCTCGTCCGTGAACTCGTAAATTGCTCCGACGACGTGTCAATCGCTATCAGCTGCAATGTTGTGCTCTTTGAGCACTTGCTGATCTCGATGCTAGAGAATGTGGATCTGCACCCGGAATCTCAGGATGAATTGGTCGAATTCTACGTTACGCGTTTAGCTTAGGGACGGTTGTTGCAGTTCATACGGTCAAGTGTGCGGAAATTGAGGGAGATGAGAATTCTGTAGATCACCGTCTCTGTATTGCTCGTTTGGTATATAATTTGTGCAAAATATACTTTTAAATTTTATGTTTTCTTAAAGAAAAATGTTGAATTAATAATTTACTTATTAGCAACGTAGAAATAGTGAGATAATTTTACTCTAGTCTAGATTATGAGATTTTATGAGAAATTGTTAATAGGTAATGAATCCTATTTAAGCATGCTCTTATTTTTGTAATCCGATTTTATTCATTAATGTAATTATTATAAGTAAGTCTTAAGAAAATTGTGTCTAAATCTAGAGCTCTGATACCATGTGATAATATATGAAAGGATAAGTAGACGAAGTTGGAGATGGCCAGCCCTAAAGCCACCGAGGAATATAATTCCTATCCCGAGCTTGACCCTGACCAACTCTCTCTTCTTCTGTCAGCCAATGTCAGCACGAAGAAGCTCTCTAAATCATCCTCTTAACTGCGTCTAGAATTCCAATGTGACATGGCTTTAGGGCTGACCATCTCCAACTTTGTGTATTTATCATCTTATCGTTACCCATTATTTCTTAAAAACTTATAATCCTCAATGAGGGTAAGGGTTCTTTTGGTATAAAAAATGTGTTTGTGTAATTATAAGCAAATGTGAACTTGTGCGTTGAGCTTAGAAGACTGTGCATAAGTGTTTCCATTATCTTTAATTCCACACAAACCTTCACACCGTTAGTTAACGTAGTTAAAGCTTAAAACCTCTCTTACTTCCCCTAAGCGTTTAGCATTGGAATCAATGGAATGCATCAGTGCCACGGGGCATTATCCTCAATCATCATCCTTGTATTTTTCCTTGCTATTGCATAGTAACATTGGGAAAATGTAATCTTTCATGAATTTTTTTTCCTTGACCAATTAAATTACAAAAACGAAGTCAATGCGTAGTACTACACTAAGTACAAGCTTTTGAGTGTTAAAAGACAACTTTTTTCCTTTCTTTCTCAAGCAAGAAATATAAAAAGTAGAACATCTGATCTAATACTATTTTTTTTTTTGATAAATTTTGAGAGTAATACTAAAATTGATTGAATCAATTGTGAATCTGCAGAAATTGATAAAATGCTGATTGAAGCAGTTGAATTGACCGAATCTACCGATTTATGAAAAAATTATATTCAGTTAATAAGCCAAAATTATATAAAAATAACTAAAATAGTCATCTACAATATATAACTTCACTCGAGATTAAAATAACTCCAATCTTATTTACTTTGATTATTTACCAGCCCATTTAGTAAAAACAGTTGACTGATAAAGTTGATAAATTTAAAATATAAACAAAAGGGTGAAAAAAATATTTCTGAATCTTTTGCACACTCTCTAGCTTCTTCTTATGTACTGTACTATGTTGAGTGAAATTCATTTGACTTCTCACGAGTCATGATTAGCTTAGTTGTAATTATTAACGGTTTCAAAATTTTCATATTATTAGAGTATTAGACTCTTCAGTTCTTCACAATTGATTTTTTTTATTTTTGCATTTTGTGTTACTTTAGTTCTTCAGTTTATTTATCAACACGCTTCAGTTCAAAATGGAAAATTCGAGGGGGGTGTTTTTATAAAACAAAATTGTTTTGTGCGCATACACATGAAGATCTTACGATATTTTCTTGAACCAAACACTGTGCTTCATGATATCTTGGAGCAGAAAAGATCAAATAATGCTAAATGATCTGATCTTGGTTCATGTGTATTTTTGTGTGTTTTGAATCTATTCGTAAATTGATTTATGAATCAAATATAGCTTCTTATGGTCGACACTTGTGTGTCAAATTTCTAGACTCCTTTTACATTTTTTAGAACCCCCTTTTAGCATTAGATATCAACTTTCCTTATACATCAAAACCGGTGGACATTTTCTAGAAATAGGTGGATATCAGGTTTGATTCTGATGAGTCAATCTAATAGGAGGAATAACCTGATCATTATCTTGATATAACATTTTATTTTTTCATGTTTTGCATGTGTGAGATTTCAATACCCTTACTCACAGTCTGACACTTTGCATTGATCGTGCCGTCATTCACTTTTTTTTATTTATTCTTCATTTTCATTTTTTATAATTGCATCATCATTTTTAAAAAAGGGCCCACACCATGATTAATTGGTCAACCTGATAGGAGAAATAACCCGAAATCTTTGTATTTTAGTACTTCATATTTCACCGGTATGAGATTTCAAAAAAATCTTCGTCAGACTATATACGTAGTAGTATACATAGATTGAATACAACTTTGCATGAATTGGACAGACTCAGGGAAGGATCTATGTACGGGCTATGGTAGGCTGAAGCCCAGAGCAACTTAGAAAATTTTCAATTTTTTTAGTGTAAAATTTTCATTTTTCACATTTAGCCTACCCCTCTAATAATTAAGTCTAGTATAATTCCTATCCAGCCTAGGGCAACTCAAATTCCTGGATCCGTCCCTGGACAGACTCAAACTCAATTCAATTTATTTAATATTTTTAGATCTTTCTCTCATGGATTGGACATAGTAATTAAACTCCATCCACCTTTTAGCTTGTTGCTTGTGAATCACTAAATTAGGTATTTAGAAAGAAGAAGAAAATTGTGTGCACTCTTGTGCGTATGCTATAAATAAATAATGTATTTGAATGTTACTAATTCTTTAGTTTATGTTGTGACGGAAAATTCGTCAGTAATCCAAACTGTTTATTGATAGACGACATTTGATAGATACAAAAACTTGTGTTTAGTTCAAGGGAATATTACTGACATGCATATGACTCAGTGGCGGACCCAGAGATTTGTGAGAATAGGGGCACACTACACAATAAACTTAGTTTTACCTTAAGTGATATTAGTGAAATCTCGGGTCCAAAGCACGGGCACTGATTTTTACCCTAAGTACTACTACTGAAATTCTGAGCCCGAAGCTGGGGCACTTGCCTCACCTAGCCCCTCCCTAGGTCCTCCACTGCATATGAGTTCATAGTATTTTGATAGTATTTTGATGTGTCGTTAGTTTTGTATTGCCTACCAAAAGTGTCAAGACTGCTTGCAGCACAGAATAACCCAATAGACATGTGCATGTGGATCCAGAAATATGAGATGCTCTGTCTGGATACGAATTATACTAGACTTAAATATTAGAGGGGTGGGCTAAATGTGAAAAATGAAAAACTTACATTAAAAAATTGAAAACTTTCTATATTACTCTGGGCTTCAGCCTACTATAGCCCGTACATAGATCCTACCCCAATACATATTTACTACTCAATAGGTTATTGATCAATCCCACACCCAAATATTGATGAAGTTGGTTGAATAGCAGTAAACATATCAAATACCACAATTAATACTTAATAAATTAAACCTTTCTCAGTTTCAATATCTATAAAAATAAAAATATGTATTGTGGATATAAGTCAATCTTATATTTTTCTTGATTTGTATTTATTGTACCTTTCATTTCATCTCCTACAGAAATGTCAACCATCAATATTAAAATATGTATTAGGTATTTCTCGCTATGTGAATGATACTTTTTCTTATGATATTAGAAAAGTAGAGTATAGCCATTATTTGAATTTGCATTATTTTATTTTATTTTTGGATCCTCTTTCATTATGAAGTACATTAAATACTTAATTTTAAGTTGACTCAAATGTTAAAATGTCAAGTATTAACACCAACTATATCAAAACAACATATAATATACTTTTTTAAATAAAATTATTGGGCATTTTATTTAATCGCGCAACGCGCGTGTAGAAAACTAGTCACATTAACTAAGAGTAAACGGTAGCTAAAACTCACAATGAGAACTACATTATGTTCTTTTAAACTCTATAGTAGGATTAATTATGTGTATTTGGACTAATATATCCTTGTAACGTTTTGGACTAAAATTAATATTTTATGAAATTAATAAAAAAAAAATAAAAAAAATATATTAAATAAAAAAATAAAAAAAACAGAAAAAAATGTAAATCTTAATTTATGATATTTTATAATTTCAGTTATTACTTATATTCAAAAAAAATTAGCTAAAATTTTATAAGAGGTGATTTTGTATTCGGTAATTTAGCATCGCATGGGCCACATACTTGTAGACTTGTAGTATTTGAAAAAAAAACTATTTTCTCACATTTCTTGGCCTTGCATGCATTTCATTGCTATATTGGAGCTCTTAATGAAGTTGTAATTCAAAGAGATGATAAGGAAACCTTATAAAGAATCATAGCGAGCAGTAATTATATTTTCCTGATAATCAATAAAGTAAAACCAACTATTTCCAACGTACCCAATCAAAAAGTAACAGTGCAATTCAAAACAGTCACTAAGTCAAACGATCTATAGTCCATAGACTCCATACATACTACGTAGTACGGAGTACTAGTTTAACCCGGCGTGCAGTAGAATTTTAGAAGCAAAGAAAACTAAATAAATACGTAGTACTCCCTAGTACGTAACATTTTTCATACTAAAGAAAATTCAAACTTCCATGGAAAATCCGAGCAAAAGTATATAGAGTCGGAATGGTTTTCAGCTCAAACCATTTTGGATGTTCTATATCTCGTTCGTCGAAAAATTGATCATATCCTGTGGTTGGTGTCCAAACTATATGGATACGCTTCGTTACCTGAGTCAAATAAATGATCTTCATTTCTTGAGTCTCTAAATTTAAAGAGATCAAATATGGTCCATAACCCTCTCTCTGCCACCAAGGAAGAATATGATGACCGAACTCCGACAAATCCATGGAAGGATTCCAAAGAGTATATGGAATCAAAAGCAAATGATAATGACCATCCTGAATCCACGTTCCAACCAAGTCCCAAATTTCCTTTCTATGACAAAGAAGAACAGGCTTCCAGTACTCATGCTTGTACATGTTCTCACCAAATTCTATGGTTGCTTGTTTATTCCAACCAATATTGTTATTGCTTTCACTCATTAGCCATATCTCTAAGCTCTTTGGATCCGCATCAGCATAAACAATTAATGTAATGGTGTCATTCATGACTGTCACCAAAGATTGTTGATCAGTGTATGGCAAGTCGATCATCCCGAAAACCTCATCGTCCAAATCAAACCAAAACAAATCTTCTTTTAGAGGATGCTCAGAACCCCGCCAGTCTCTCGCACAAGCCCGCCAATAATACTTTCCTTTAAAACAAAAATCAAGATGATTACACGCATGAAAATTTGGAACCGAATCGATTTGTCTCCAATGCCACGAACCATCCCTGGTTTTGCTGCAAACCATTACCATTGGACAATAATGTTGGCCTACCATAAAATCCCATATCATGACAACCTTCCAGTCCTTATTTTTCGAAATCCCGAACCCAAAAGATTGCCTCAAAAAGCAAAGGCCCGATTTACCGTGCGAGGGTGGTTCTCTGGGCACTGTAATAGATGGTAATTGCTTAAGCTGTCTAATGAATGGGTTCCATATCAAAACATCAAGAGTCCGATCCGGAAAACGACTCGGATGGAGCTCGAAATCCCCATGACTCAAAATAAAACACAGCATTCCTTCACAGCAAGTTAAAAATCTCGTTCTTGAATTCCGAATATTTAAGTAAGTGCACACGATCTCATCGGAATCCAACTCTTTGTGAAGCAAACCAAATAGTTCGTAACCAGGGATAGCTATACTTTGAAGCTTTATAACAGCATAACTATATTTCCCTCGATTGATTTCGTCGAATTTGTGGACAAAGTGAAGATCGTTTTTTATCAAATCGTAGAAGAATTTACATACACATTTAAACCGCATAACAGATTCTACCGGCAATCTGGCAAGAATCTCGATCACCAACTCTTTCGGTAATTCGCAGCTCTCCATTGTGATCCCTCGTAAAATAAATTCTATGAAATATACGGAGTATATTTTTATATATACACAGAAATCGGCAGAGTCCTGTAACTTTCTTAATTCCAAAACATAAATCGGCAGAGTCCTGGTAAACATTGATGTTCTAGATTCTTTCTGAATATAGAAAAACGATATATATTAGAGATATTGTCAGGACTAAAAGAGTTTGGAAATTCCAAAATGAGACTTCCATGTTTTTATTCCCAAAATAGGACTAATTACTGTCATGTTTTGGCAGTACCAGACTTTAAACATGACAATATTTTTCAAATTTGGCAGTAATTAGTCCTATTTTGGGAATAAAAACATGACAGTCATATTTTGGAATTTTCAAACTTTTTAGTCCCATTTCGGGAACTTTCCCTATATATTACATGCTTTATAAATACTTCGTAATTAAAAAGCTAACTAATTAAAAATCAATATATATATATATATAAAGGATGAATTTGCAAAAATATATATATATATATATAAAAGATGAACTTTTTAAGAGTATACAAAGAGCCACATAAGCACGCCATGTCATCCATCATTTAAGTTTGTTAATATTCCATATCTTTAATTTATTTTATTAGATTCTATTTTTTATTGCATATTGATATGGAAACAAAAAACTTTATGATAAAAATCCACTTTATTTGGAAACTTTTTCCAAAGCTAATACGTATTTATCAATTATGAAATTCCAAACCTAATACGTATTTCCAGACCTAAATCAAATCACAATAATTAATGAGACTACATTTTATTTGGAGTACTTTTTATAACCACATATATTTTTATTTTTATACTTCTTATTTTTTTATTACATTTTATTGAAGAAAAAAAGTATGTTTGTTGTGCTCACTCAAGAGATAAATCAGTTCCTTAAACAAATAGATAAATCAGCCAAATTGCTATTTATTTTGTAATCAAAATTATTTATATATAAAAACAGGTATTTAAGTGTCCTATAACCTAAAATGTTATACTTTATTCTTCTAAACTCAATGTTGAGATCGTAATTAAAATTTTAAGTCACTGATTTGAAACTATGTTAATACTTCGTATTTTTCTACATCTCCATATAACGTAACTCTTTCTTAATTATTAACATAGTGATGAAAATTACGTATAGTGTCAGGGAGATGCGTCTTTGCTTAATGCGCAATCTTCATCTTTGAGAATTGGACTTTGATACACACAGCTGATTCAACGGTAGAAACAGAGGGCAAGATGGTTCCGATTTTTTCTTCCTAGAAAACTAGATCGAAGCCTGCGCTCGGCTCTGTTGCCGATTTTTTCTTCCTAGGTGATAGAGTATATGGGCTTGGACCCCAAGGCCCACATACTCAATGGCCCAAAAGACACCAGCCCAAACACCGATGCCACCCGCATCGTCTGGGCACGCCGCGTCGTCCAAAGAGACAGTCGTCGGGGATCGTCAAACCAGGATCAATTGGCCGCATCGTCCGCAGGAGGGGGAGTCGGTTTCGTCTTCTTGGCAGCCGGGGCCGGTCTTAACCCTACCTCGGCCAAAGTTTGCTGCCCCTCAGCGGGCCTCTTCTTTGCGGCAGCAGCCTTCTTGGTCGCGGCAGTTTTCTTCTTCTCCGCGTCGGCCAAACCTTGAGAACCGTCGCCCGATCCCCTCGACGCTTCGGCTTTCTCAGCAGCCTCCAGCTCCTTGACAACATGCTGCTTAGCTTTAGCCATGAACATCCGCCGGCTCATTTCGTAACCTGCAAAGACGACACCAGAACAGAATTAGAAATAAACAACACAAAGTACAAAACAGATTCAGGGGAAAGCTATCAACCTTCGGCCTCGGCCGGAATCCCAATCAGCGGCCCATCGGCCTGTTCAAAAGAACCAGAAATCTTCGGCCACAACCCACAGTCCGGATCGCCAGGAATGTGATAGCGCATCATCCCGAGAGCTGCAATCTTGAACTCTGTGATATACTTATTCACGCTCCTCGGCCCTCCTTTCACAAAGGCCTCAACTTGGGCGTCGAGCTCGGCGCTCCGCGGCGGATCGTGCAGGTTAAACTTGCTGTCGTGACCATGCGAAGGAAAGCACCTCCCATCGGCCAACTTCACGTATACAAACTTCGCCTTCCACCCATGGATGGACGAAGGGAGATCCTTAAACGATTTCTTACCAGAAAGTTGTTGGATCGTCGCATAACCAGCACAGTTCTTGTGGCTCCCTCGGCCGATCCGAAACAAATTCATGAACAAGGCAGTCATCGGCTCGAAGCCAAGCTCATCGCATCGGATAAGGAATCCGACGATCAGAGCAAAACTATTAGGCGTCAGCAGAGCTGGGGGGAGACCCAACATATCCAAGTACTTTACCACGAAATCGGGCAACGGAAACCTCAAGCCCTGGGAGAAGCTCATTGGATATACCCCAAAATAACCAGGAGGCGGGGCCAAGACATGATCCGATGGCCTCGGCTCCCTCACTTTCCCATAAGGCCCAACATACAGCTGGGCTAAGTGATAGTCGTCTCGGCCACTCTCAGGCCTGATAATGTACACATTCGACAAGTCCAACTGCGAAGTACCTCCCGATGCCGCTTTCCGCGGACGAGACGCACGTTTCCTAGGGGCCCTAGACGACGATGCCACACCGGGCACGGAGGAGACAGGCGGAGGGCAAGGAATAGCAGCCGAAGAGGCATCACCCGCATCGTCTCCCCGCAACTTAGGATCAGAGCTCGCCTCGTCCTCACCTGATTGCTGAGAACCAGCATTGTCACTTAACCTCTCCTCGTCTTGTGACGTACGGTAGTCAGCTGTGTTTTCCATCTCCGTCTCAAACGCCTGAACTATCTCAAGATCAACTCCAGGCGACGGGTCCGCGACGTCAAAGGGCCAATCCGACTCGTCCAACGAAGCTGTTAAATTAAGAGGAGAGGGGACGCTACGGCCGTCAGGGAACGGCATAACACCTAAATCTATTCCTAAGGGTGGTTTTCCGGATCAAATTAAAGTGGTTTTCCTACAAACACTAGATCTAACCCCCTAGGAAGCAAAGTATAAGGAAAAAACGAAGAACAAGCTCAAGAATCTAACCTTGAACTCTTGAAGATCTGAAAAACACTTGAAGGTTTCTGGGAAGCACTTCTCTCCCTAGAAATCTCAGCTCAGCAAATTGCGAATGAGGGTAAGGCTTCGGAATGAAGGGGTATTTATAGGCACCCCTCCAACGGTCACTACACGTGGCATCCGCCCATTGGTCACCCCAACGGCCACCTCCACTCCAACCAATCAGAACGCGCCAGCTCAATCCTGACCCCATAGGCGCATCCCCTATGACCCAAACTCACGAAACATATGGCATCGGCTGTGCAACAACTACATCATTACACAACCGCCTCGGTCCCTTGGCTACCAAACTTCACAACCGCATCGGCCAAACCCGGTACACTACTCTCTTATGCCTAAGGCTTCGCTTCGTCTAAGAGAGTGGGGGACTGGGGGACTACTAGATACAAACGCAAAGGAAAAATGAGACGCCTCGTTTAAAACAAAAGACAAAGCGCAACGGTTCAACATGGAGGGCAATGGCTTCGTCCCAAATCGGAATACAAATAGCAAAAACAGAAAGGAGCTCGCAACGGTTCATTCATTGGCAGCACCGCTACGTCTGCCACCACAAGAAATGAGGAAGCGCATCGGGCACGAAGATACAGGATCCGTATCGGCTCATTCATGGACTGCATCGTCTGAAGACACAGGGAAAAGAGAGACAAAGCGCATCGTCTCCAAGACATGGGGAACCAGACTTCAGCTGATTGTTGGACAAAGGGCCTCGCTTCGTCCAATTCACCACGAAGTTAGACGTCCACCAGCACCAAGGAGCCGCAGCGGCCCTAAGTTACAGATTTAGGCTTCGTCTGAAAACATGCAACCACCGCTACGTCCACACATGGACAAAATGAGAAAAATCACGAAGGTCAAATGACTCCAAGCAAACCACGCAACGTCAACACACAACGAAACAGGAATTGGCATCGCTACGTCCACGAGAGAAACAAGAATACTCCCTCTCGCTTCGTCTGCAACTCAGCTCAGAGAGTGGGGGACTCCTGATAGAGTATATGGGCTTGGACCCCAAGGCCCACATACTCAATGGCCCAAAAGACACCAGCCCAAACACCGATGCCACCCGCATCGTCTGGGCACGCCGCGTCGTCCAAAGAGACAGTCGCCGGGGATCGTCAAACCAGGATCAATTGGCCGCATCGTCTGGGCACGCCGCGTCGTCCATGAGACCGCGTCGTCCATGAGGGCGTGTCGTCCACAAAACTTGGGCAGAATACGCTTTTCTCTGTATTATTTTGCTAAGTGTTGTACTCAGCCCATTAGTGGCCCATTTAGCCCAAAAGAGGCATATTCGTTGTAACGGGCCTCCTAAGCCCACGGTTTAGGAGCCCAAATCCACATTTTGCCTATAAATAGTCCCCAAGGGGCTAGTTATGGGTGGTTGAGAATTTAATACTCACTTATCTCTCTAGCTCTAACTTCTCTCTAGAATTATACTCTATCACTAGGGATTAGTGCCGCTGGGTCTCGTTTCTTCCTAGGGATTAGTGCCGCTGGGTCTCATTTCTTCCTAGGGCTATCGCCGATGGGTCTCGTTTCTTCCCGGGGCTTATCGCCGCTGGGTTTCGTTTCCTGTTTTCGTTTATTAACAAAGAACGGTGGTTAGGTTGTGGTGAAGGCAAATGACGGCAGTGGTCTGGGTTTCGTCGGAAGGGCTTGGTCGTGGCTTGGGTTTGGCCAAACAGGAAGACGCAAGGGACGAAAGAAAAGAGAGGGGATCTCCAAGTCAGGAGAAGTCGACAGCGTGATTATGGACTGGAAGATCAACCTTCCGGGGTTCCAAGATCTGATGGCATCTGTTTGGCGCCAAGAGAAATCACGATGGTGCAATAACAATAATGAAGTAGAGGCGGTTGAGTCGGAGAAAACCTGCTTCGGTGCAACAATAATCGCTGCGAGGGTCCGGCCTCCCCCAGAACCACCGTCAAGGGTTAATCGACGTGTTTTGGAGTTTGATTACTTATCTTTTCT